TGGGATTTCGACTTTACTCTTTCGAAAATTGCAAACGTACACCTTCTGGCACAGCGAATTCTTCATAGTTTTTTTGTTCTATAAACTGCTCGTTTTCGCAAGAAGACTAGTGCACGAGAAGTAGTGCGTTTACGAGCACAAAATGAAGCTGAAGGCAAATTTACAGCTATAGAAAGAAGAGCTATAGAAAGATTCTCCATCTAACGCGTTTGGCACTGATTTCAAACTGTAAACTCATACTATAGTTTAAAATTTTTTTTTTTTTTTTAAAAAAATTATATAATAAAAACCCCCAAACCCACCAAAGGGGGAGAAAATCTATTAAAATTGCTTTGTGTGAAAGAGACGATGAGGCCGGGCGGAGAGACAGGCAAAGTCTGCAATCATATTCATGCAATCATATTTCATTCGTTTGTCTGTCCTTTCAGCCGGTCTAAACGTCCCAATTGATTCGCATTCACCCCCGTTCCCCAATTCTGAATTCTATATAGGCACTCGCTTGTCTCATCCCTTCCCTTCGCTCCTCTTCCCTTTCTTGCTTTTTCCTCATCTTCCCTCGTCTTCCCTCTCTTCGCTTCCCTTCCCTCCTTCCCCAATCCATTCATCCATGCGATTCTTTTCTTTTATTTCACAACACTGTATATAGACATGGCTTTTGTGAAATAAAACTTTCAATTTCTCAAAGATAACCGAATACACAGTTACACAAATCTAACAGCAAATGACTGTACTCTACAGAATTCGATGGAATATCGTAAGCCGGTCTAAATGTACACGATTGAGAGAATGTGATCAGATCCAGCTGTGATATCATACCAGATAGTCAAGCTTACAGTAATCTCGATGACTACGGTGGAAAATATTTCGTACTGCAAGGTAGTAACGTCGCGTAACTTGGTTACGGATTACGATAGTGTCTATAGTTATGGTTACTGTAGCATCTACTGGCTGAGTCACCCTTTAGCAAAGTCGATAAAGCAGCTAAGTTTATTACAAGTTGACGATCGGAAAACGTTTTCAAGTTATAAATTAACCGTTATCATTTATATAAATGCTTATGTGAAAGACAAATTCAATTCTTTTTTCTCGAAACCCGCCAATTGCTAAAAATTAGGGGAGGGGGGGGGGGGAGGGGGGGGTTGTTTATCCGAATTAGGGTTGTTTACGTGTACTTTTACTTAGCTAGCTCAATCATTAGACCATCTCGAGCCAGCTCAACAATTAGACTATCTCGTAAATCAGCAATAGATTCAGCAATAGATTTAGCAATACAATGAGCATTTAAATCTAATTTAAATTACAACTTTTAGATCCATACCTTTCTGTTGCATTCTTGATGTCCGTTTTGGTGAAGTGTGCCATTTGACGATGACGGACCGGCCTGCATTTTAGAAGTAACAGCAAAGAAATGGGGAAATTTTGCAAAGAAAGAAATGGGGAAATTTTCATGTAAAGGTATATCAATAAAGGTACTACTTGGTTATCGAGCCTGTCTTATTTCAACCCCAAATCGGTACTATATTTAGTGAAATGTTAATGCATAAATATTAATGAAATAAATAGCTGTAACAGCTGGCTTTTTCTGAAATTTATCTTCTAATAGTACCTGTTGTAACCAGGAAAGATGTGTTTTTGAACTATTTCTTTCGATACACAATTTTTCTAATCACGCACAAAAGCGCAAAAAAAACAGCGCAAACAAAACAGCGCTTAGGCTGATCGTATTATGTTGTTAAAATAAGCTCTGAATTTTTCTAAACCGTTTTTGGCCATCGTCCACCATCTTCGCCTAGTTTCTCTTCCTAAAGCCTAAAGGAGGTTTGAAGGAGCTCTTTATTTCGGTATCTCAAAAAGGCCCTTCCTTTCGCCTCTCCCTGCAATTTCTTCTCTTTTCCTCCACGTTTCTCGTGTGTTTACAGGTTTTCCATTGCGTACATTTTTAGCTCCTTGCTTGAATTTTTTAATTAAAGATTTAATTTAGCCAATTCTCACCGCTTCCTTAAAATCTTCCCATTTATTCCTCATTTCTTCTCATTTTCCGAAATTTTGAAGCCAAAGCCTTCAAATAAATTTACTTTCTTGAAAAATTTTCTCTCTTGTTTTTTCTAGTCGCTTCGCTTGAAGCTGGGACTTAACATGGCTATTGGCACTTAAGATGGTTGTATAGTTGATAGTTCCCGGCTTGACCTGTTTTTGAAGTTCCGCTTCTCTCCTAGATTTCCTAATTCGGGTGATCAAGTGGGCGTTTATCAAGGCATTGGTGAAATCTCTATCCTCGGAATTGAGAATCTTGCCAAAGACAATCCAAGGGAACTATGCGGGTCAAGGACTTGATTGGGGCTTCTCATTCACTTATTTGGGAAAAACCCTGAGGAACGAATCAGTTAGCTAGACTCTCCGATTCATTCCATCCGAACTCCTTTAAGGAGGGGACACGCTTCGCTTTTCGCTTTACCCCTCCAGTCTTCTCCAATTTCTTCTCTAAGTTTCTGCCGTGTTTTCAGATTTGCCTTTTTCCAGCTTTTTCTAGTTTTCTTCCCGCTATCACGAGACCTAATTTGGCCAATTCTCACCACTTCCCTAAGGAATCTTCCCATTTCTTCATCACTTCTTATTTTTCAAAGTTTTGAAAAGCCTTCGAAAAGGCTAATTCGATCAATTGACTTCCTTAACAATTTTCTCTCCTTACTTTCCTTGTTATTTTTGCTTGAATTTAAGAGTTTAATTAGATGGTTTATTGACTTATAAGCCTGATCTTCTTGGCTTGATTTGTCTTTAAATAATCTTTTCGAAAAAAGCGTCCTAGGTTCGAGTCTTGGTATCTCGAGACTCTTCTGATCCTAATATTTTTCAATAGTCAATTCTGACCAGACATTTACTTGAAGATGCCGGTGCTGTGGCCGAAAATTCACTTCCACTTTACTAGCTACAAATGAAATAGAGGAAAGTATTCCAGAAAAAGTTTTAAGATTTAGAATCATATATTATTGGAAAACCCTGTTTTTAAAATAACTTGTGTTTGATCGATCAACTGGAAGTGGAGATAAGTAGAATTGTTGAGGATGGCACCATTCTCTCAAAAAGTATGGGGTAACCTTTAAAAAGGTAGGGTGCAACCTTTTAATATCTATTTTGCTGGATGTTTACTTAGTAAGTCTACAAAACCAATAATACATGTTTGATAACAGGCCTTTATTTTAACAAACCTGTATTATAACAGGCCTGTATTACAACAGACCTGTATTATAACAGGCCTGTATTACAACAGACCTGTATGATAACAGACCTGTATTATAAAAGGCATGTATTATAACAGGCCTGTATTACAACAGACCTCTATTATAAAAGGCCTGTATTATAACAGACCTGTATTACAAGAGACCTGTATTATAAAGTTTGTAGTACAACAAACTTTGTAGTACTGCAAACTTTGTAGTATTGCAAATCTTGTGGTACTGCAAACTTTGTGGTACTGCAAACTTTGTAGTACTACAAACTGAAAGCCTTCTCAGTACTGAAAGCCTTTTAGTACTGAAAGCCTTTTCAGTACTGAAAACCTTTTCAGTATTGAAAGTACTACAAATTGCAGTACTGCAAAGTTTGCAGTACTGCAAACTTAAAAGTTTGTAGTACTACAAAGTTTGTCCTGGTCCTGGTATCCTGGTACAGTGCATGAGGATCCTTTCGTCTTTCGCCTAAATAGTCGAACTTTGACTGAGATTTTCACCATGTTTTTATGTTAAAGTTTACTAAGTAATTTGTGTCTATAACCAAATTTCATAAGGCACATTTTAAGAGCGATAAAGTTGTTCATAAAATCGTCGAAATTATGAACAACTCGCGCATGAGAATCTGAGTTGGACTGCTCTTCTCTTTTGTCTGATATCCCTACTTGCAATTGACGGATCGACTTGGGGTTGGTTTTAAAATGTAGCTAATGAAATTCGATTATATAAAACTATAACTCGCTTAGTAAACTGCAATATAAAAAGATAGAAAAAGTGTGCAAAAAGAGTGCTTTTTGTAAGGTCAACTCTGAATTTTTTAGATAGATTTGAATTGTACCCTTAAAACTAGGTCTAGAAAAGTGTTTTCAAATATTTTGGAAAAAAAAATTATTTTAAGAAAAAAAGGAGAGTCTAATACCTTAGCTTTTTTTCAATAAAAATTTTTTTTAAGATTACTTTTCTAGATGTAGTTTTAGTCGAGGAGTTCGAATCCGTCGAAAAAATCGGGGCTCATCTAATAAAAAGTACTCTTTTTCTTTAACAACTGTGCTATTGTTCCGCGGAAGCTTATCACTCTTTTCTCTTCCTCCATATCTGCATTTTCAGTTAACCGATCAACTTGCGGTTGTTCTTAAAATGTTCCTTATAAAATTTCCTACCGGAAACTCTTGTACTTCCTTTACTTTAAATGGATCATAGACTTTCGAGATTGCCGTTACTTTAAAAGATTTACAGCATTTTAAAGATTGGAAAATCTAAACTGATCTCTCTTTGTTGCCTTTCTCAAGCCAGTCACTCTACCTTTCTTTTTAACAATCTATATATAAAATCAATTGTTTGCTTCGTCCATTTGTACGCGCGAGATCTCGGCTTCCCGTGAGCCGATTTACGTAATTTTTAGTGTTAGGCTTAGAATTCTGAGTAGTTTTGCATCTCATATTTTATTTTTTCAAAATCAAAAGTCGGATCGCAACCGGGGTTCGAACTCGGACCCTGTGGGTGCTAGACGAGGGCACTCCTGGCTGCGCCACGTCGAGTTAAGAACCAGCAGGAAAAACAGCGAGAAACCTCGCCGAACCGCGCTTTTTTGCCTGGCCAACTTCTATCTTTTCCTTAACAATTTATCAATAAATCGTATTTTTATTCTGAAAACTATATTCTTAATATATTCTTATATTCTACTCTTATATTTTTACTCTTAATATATTCTTAACATATTCTCCTCTTTTTATATCATCTCTTTCACTTTTCCCCTCTTTATTCAAATTTCAGATGACTTCTGTACATTCGGCGGGTCCATCAATGCAAGTGTACAGCACCGAAGTCACCCTCATTTTCCCTTCCCTACGCTTTTTGTTCATTTTCGGAACGGCTGGCAACGTCGCTGTGCTCACTTATGTTTTCTTTGTGACAAGGTAAATTTGTTTACAGTTTTTCACTCAAAGATTCAATCAAAACCCTTTATAATCACTTTAATAAAGAAATAAAGGTATCTTTATACTTTGGAATTGTTTTAATTGTTGAATAGAAGTTTCTATCAGGTTTAAATGTTTGAATGTTTCAATCTAGCTATTAAATGCATTATGATGAAAATTACAAGCTTAAATTTTTTTTAAAAAACCCCTAGACTCAACTTGGGACTTAAATAATGAACTTTAAAGCTAAAGCAATGTTGTTTTTATCTTAATTGAATATAATGGCTTAATCAGGCTTTAGAGGATTTTAAAAGTGCCTTATTACAGTAATCCGACTAATAAAGTCCGACTCCGACTGGCTTTTGTTTTGGAAATGTTTCAAGTTTCAAGAAAGCTACAAATCTGACAAGGGGATGAGGAATAGGAATGCAAAATGAGGGTGAAAAAAAAAGAAAAAGAAAGCTTTGATTGCAAATATGAAATATCGTTTCAGAAAAAGCTTGAATTGCAAATACCAGTTGGATATCTTTTCATATCATCCAACATATTCCAAATATCTTTTCAGTTCAGTTTATAACCTTAAAGTTTGTCTTGCAACAAAACAGATAAATATTGTTTTGTTGTGTGTTGCAAAAGGTTTGACGGTGGCGGGACTCAAACCAATTGTAAGGATAGGCATTGTAGTAATCTAATGCCCAAACCCTTAGGTCATCATTGCTCTTGTTTCCCTCGCGTTTTGAGCGTTCTTATTGGCTAGGGCTTAGGCTTTTCTAAGGCCTTAGGCCTTAAAACTCTATTGGCTTCTTTCGAAAATTCCAAACAACCATTCTTGAATGAATTTGAGCTCAAAATTGACTAAAACAGTTTTCGGTTAGTGGCATGCCGACTTAGTGACATGCCTAAAAATTTAGTGACCTTGCCAATTTCAGATCCTTACGATCCTCAGTCACTGCTTTGGGAAACACATTCGTCTACATGGTCGTTTTGTCGGGAGTCGATCTTTTGGTCACAATGTCAATTCCATTTCATTTATCAGGTAGATGAGTTTTTGAGATTGTTTCAAACAAATTTCAGTGATGGTGCTAGAGAATTGGATTTTCGGGCAACTCGCTTGTAAAATCTACTTTCTTTTAGAGCTTTCGAATAAGGTTTTGACTCGAAAGCAACCATCTCCAACAATGATTCTAGATCTGTTCCTCTTTCATCCTAACAGCTCTAGGTTTTGATCGATACATGGCGATCTGTCATCCGGAAGTGAAACGGGTAAAAATGAGGGAAAAGGCTGTAGCAGTACACTAGAAGTACACTAGAAGTACACCAGAAGTACACTAGCAGTACACTAGCAGTACGCTTTTAGTAGTACGCTTTTAGTAGTACGCTTTTAGTAGTACACTTTTAGTAGTACACTTTTAGTAGTACACTTTTAGTAGTACACTTTTAGTAGTACACTTTTAGTAGTACACTTTTAGTAGTACACTTTTAGTAGTACACTTTTAGTAGTACACTTTTAGTAGTACACTTTTAGTAGTACACTTTTAGTAGTACACTTTTAGTAGTACACTTTTAGTAGTACACTTTTAGTAGTACACTTTTAGTAGTACACTTTTAGTAGTACACTTTTAGTAGTACAATTTTAGTAGTACACTTTTAGTAGTACACTTTTAGTAGTACACTTTTAGTAGTACACTTTTAGTAGGACACTTTTAGTAGTACACTTTTAGTAGTACACTCACAGTACACTCACAGTACACGCGCGTCGTCGTTCAATTTTTCACTAATGATTTGATGAAAAAGATAAACTACATAGGGTGTCCCAAAATTATGGTTACGGAAATAACGTAAAAGTTTTCGACTTTATTTACATAGCAAAAATCAGCTGATAAGGAAAAAATTTATTCTAAACAATTTAATTAACAAATAAAAACAACATTTAAATCTCAAAATGGCCTCCCTTTAGCAGCTATGCAATTTCTTTAATCGTTTTGGAAAGTCATTAACGGCCTTTTCAATGGTAGACAAAGGAATCTCGTTCCAAGCTTTGATCAAATCCTTTTTCAATGAGTCAATTGTTGTGTGAGCTTTTGCACAAGCTTTGCTTTCAAGAATGGACAACAGATAGAATAGTCTAAGGGGTTTAGGTCAGGGCTGTTTGAAGGCCATTCGCCCGGCCGTTGTTGGCTGATATCCACTGTGATCCAGTCAGGAAAGTTGTTTGAGATCCCATCTTTGTACAGCTGTTTTGTGAGATGGAGCCCATCCTGTGGATAAGTCCAGCTATTGGCGCCAAAATAAGCTTTGAGTCCAGGGTAAAACATTATTTTTGGAGCATATTGATATAAGCGATTTTATCGATTTGACCCTGGCGGAATGAAGATCAAAGGAGTTTTTCTGGGTTATTTACTCCGGTCCATATCATAACTTGTTGCCGCTTTTGTTGTCTTGACACAATTCTATCATCAAGAGGTAGTGGATCCTTTGACCAAACACGATCGTTTTGATGGTTATGGGCTTGCTCAATATCAAACCATTTTTCGTCTGTGAAGAGAATTCTTTGATGGCGATTTGAGCCAAAGCGTCTCAGAAGCTGCTTGCACTGGTGTAATTGCTTTGCTTTCATAACGTCCGTCAATAAATGGCCTTTTGACACCTTTTTCTGGCTTTCATGCCAGCTCGTTTTGAGCATACGATGAACAGAACTCTTGCCGATTCCTCTGACAGATTGCGCGAGTTTTCGAACGGAGTTCTGGGACGAATTCGGACTTCTTTTTGAGCCGTTTAAAAAAATCCGTCGTTTCTCCAGCAGAAACATTGGCAGTCTTCTTTCGACCGCGTCCCGAGCGATCTTCATTTGATCCTGTTTCCTTGTATCGCTTCACTGCGCGGGACACATTCATTTTTCCTCCTGCAAGATTCGCGAAATTTCAGCGCTGGTTTTTCCCCGTTGGTGGAGGGAAATTGTAGCTGGTCGAAGGTCCTTCTTCGATTTCATACCTGAAATAACAGATAAATTAGTACAATGAAACCAAAAAGTAAGTAAAAAAACCAGTAAAATGTGAAAAAAAGGCAAATAGAGTGCGCGTAACCATAATTTTGGGACACCCTGTAAACCATTAAAGAAATCTTGAAATCAACTCGAATCATTGACACATTCATTCCATCCATTTCCAGGTTCACCAAATGCGTCAAACGGCAGCCATTGTGACTGGGATGATCTGTATCTCGGCAATCCTAATTACGCCCGTTGTCTTCTCAGCCTATGTAAAAGAATTTCACTCTGACGACATTTTCACGAGAGGGATCCTAGAAAAGAAAACCAAAACCTGAGGTGAAAAGAAGAAAAGAAGCTAGAAGTTTAAGGTTGCCATAAATGCCATAAATTTTCGGTAGTCTATTGCTGAATGAAATATACAAGATCTGTGAACGTTCAGTCAACAATTGAACACAATAAAAAAGAGACTCAGACTTTTTACAAAGCTCTTACAGTAAATACAGCACTTTACCTAACCATAAACGATAATTGAATATATTTTAACTTCGCTAAAAGCCAAGCGATTCAGGAGGAACACTGCACTGGCTACTGTACTTCTTGTCGTTCTCAGTACTGCAAATTTCAGGAGTACGGTACTCAGGAGGAGTACTGTGCTTCGGGAAGAGCACCACAAGTCTGGTACTGAAACTTCGGGGTGTTGACTTTGGTACTGTACTCTTTGGGGTACTGGCTTCGGTATTGTACTTTAAAGTACTGTACTTCAGGGTACCTACTTCCGGTAAGGTACTTTAGCACTGTACTTGGGGTACTGTTGTACTCCAGGTACCCTGGTAAGGCACTTTGGGCACTGTACTTTGGGGTACTGTACTCAAAGTACCTACTGGGGCACAGTAGATTGGGGTACCTGTACTTTAGGATACCTACTCTCGGTACTGTACTTCCAGGGTATTCAATTCGGCATTGTACTTTGGGACTGTACTTTGGAGTGCCTAGCTCGGGATACTATACTATAGCCGTAAATACTTCAGGGTACTTACTTCGATACTGTACTTTGGGGCACTAAGCACTTGGAGAAATTCATATCTCAAGACAGCCACTGGTCCCGTCAACTATTTAAACTATTTGAAAATAGTATTTGCAAAACCCTGTTTTGCTTTGCTCATAATGCTTGCCGGGGAACTGTTGAAGCTGCTGAAATTTGGATATGAAGATTTTCCCGGCAGGATCACCCATCCAATTGTGAAACAAACGTGCGTTGACGGGCTGAGTATCACGATGAAATTGTGTTGCACCTCAGTGATTTTCTGACTTCCAAAAAACTTTTCTTCAGTTTTTATGCGCCATGGTTGGAAATGGTTGCTTTTCTGTTTCATGCACTTTTACGCACATATTTCTACGCGAGAATCATTTTGGAGGTTGAGGCGACAGATACTGCAAGTGATCGTACACTTGTAGCAATTGCAAACGACAGCAGAAACTCTGTGAGAATATAACATTTTTCAGCTAGCTTTAGCCTTTCTCTTTTTAGCTTTCTCTAGCTAGCTTTAGCTTTCTCTAGCTTTAATTTAGCTTAATCAACCAGTTCTAATGCAAACAATGCCTTTCAGCACAATGTTACAATCAAGAATCCCTATTAAACGGATCACCATTTACATTACTGGTTGTCACATCAGTGTTCTACTCCGCCATGTCAGGTATTTGAAAGAAGAACTAAGTGTGAATCCAAGTAAAGAATCTTGTTTTGAACTGTCAATAATATCTGTAGATTCTCGCACTGGCTACCGCAAATCTACTTGATCTTTGCGAAAAATCTTTCATCTTTCTCTCAGTCCTGACTTCATCAAG